TTTTTTTTTTTTTTTTATAACTGATCTATTCTTGGTTTCCATAGTTTTTGCCTTTTCCAGAATGCCACATAAATGGAATCATATGGTATGTCTCCGCTTCTTTCACGCAGCTAATGCATTCTTGATCCAACCATGCCGCCGCGTGTAGTAACCACGGCTCTCTTCTGCTGCCCAGGAGCAGCTCACTGCGTGCGTGTTACCACAGTCTGTCCGTCCATGCACGAGTTACAGGACAGGTGGGTCGTGTCCACCTTGATGGACGGGAGATACAGTTGCTAGGGACATGTACGTACAGGCATCTGTATGAAACTAAGTTTTCATTACTCTTGGGTAAATACCTAGGAATGGGATTGCTGATCTTATGTTAAAAGTGTACATTTAACTTTGTAAGAAACTGCCAAAGCGTGTATTTTTAATCTCACTTCAAACTATTAGATAGCAGCTTAAGGAAAAAAACGAACACAAAGTTCACTCAATGCAGTTCAAAACTAGCACACACCCCCTCCGCTAGTGCTTGTGTAAAGATAAGATACCATGTAACTCACATTTGACTTTACAATGACCATTTGTGCTGACAGTGTATTACTTTAACACAGAAAAGTCAGATCATTTCTATGAAATTTTGTCTGGTAACATAACAAAAGCAAAACCAAAAGCTGCCTGCGGTAAGGGAGCTCCCATAGAGGTACAGCTGTTCAAAGGCTTACAACCCAGTTATGTTCTTCCACGTTCAAAAGGCCAAACACCATATGTTCATCCAACCCAAAGGAAAAGTCTGGTATTTTGAAATTATAGCAATTTTCGGGATGTGGAATTTTAGGCCCAAGAACCAGGGCAGGTTTAGCTTATGGATAGGAACGACTGGGGTATCAGCTACACTGCCTGGGACTCCTTATCCCTGGGAAAACCACCTGGTGAAACCTAATGAGGAAACATCTGGGCAAAGGACTTAACAGGAAAAGGAGAGCAATCATCAAACTCCGTCATATGCTTAACAACGAAACAAAGACACTAAACTGTCCCCAGCACCTCATCATGAAATTATATTTGCAAATAGCCAACAAGGTATTAAAATTGGTCATACCCATATACCAAACTACCAAAAAAAAAAAAAAAATCAAGGAAGATTAATATCTTACTTATATTGTGAGGAGTTCTCTCCACATACAAATATGTGTATGTGTGCGTATATGAATAAAATATCATCTACATGTATCAACAAAATATATATACATTTATACACAGAGTCCCCTCCAGCAGAACATCCAACCAAGTCATGTCAAGGTCCCTCCTCAGCACCCGGCCTTCCGCCAGCCAAGATCATGTCCGCAAAGGCTTCAGTGGCCACCAGGGAAAGCAGCTGTTGTCTCCTCTCACCAATGCTTGGCTTTTAAAGTGAAAGCAATGAGGGGCGCCCGGGCAGCTCAGTCGGTGAAGCGTCAGACTCCTGATTTCGCCTCAGGTCATGATCTCACGGTCATGGGATCGAGCCCTGCATCAGGCTCCACGCTGACAGCTCAAAGCCTGCTTAGGATTCTCTCTCCCCCCGCCTCCCTCTCTCTGCCCCACTCCTGTGCTCTCTCTCAAAATAAATATAAATAAAGCCAAAGCCATGAGAACATAAAACTTGGCCCTCACATCTCTGATTTTCAGGACATGCCTGGAAACTAGAATCAAACAAGAAGGAGCCCTCCAAAGCTAGGTATCCTGAGGGGAATGGAGGAAAATTCTTGCTCACACGCTTCTAATACCTGCAGCTTTAACTTGCCTGGACAACAGGCAGGGACCTAGCCATTTTAAGTAAGCAAACTATTTCCTGATGACGAGGCTCCCATCACCTAGTAATGAAGAATGTAATGATTACAGGTAACTCAAATTTGCTTTTTAGTAAAGACCTCGGGTCCAAATACTTCTTTGTCTCCCCTACGTGTGTTTACAAAAAATGTTTTTCAAGTGCCACAACAAGCTTCAGCTTAAACGCTACTTCCTCGGGTGTGCCGGCAAGCGCTGACAACAGGGCCCCGCACACAGGTGCTCAGTAAGCTACGCAGGACGAATGAGGGAAGAGAGGAGACTCCTCCTGCACAAGGTGAGAGCCCCATACTTCTCCTTCCCAGTACCCATCCCAAACTGCGGTCATTCATTTGGTGCTGGGATGATCGGTCTACCCTTCCCAACTAGACAGCAGGCCTTCCTTCTTAGCTTCTGCCCTGTCCTCAGCGCTAGGGGAGGGCCAGTGCTGTGGGTGTTCAGGAAGTGTAAGTTCCACGGCTGAGTGGAACCGAGGCCTCTGCAAGTGAAGCACGTGCACCCCCAAAGGTCCACAAACATTCTGCATTTTAATTTTTTTTTTTTAATATTTATTTTTGAGACAGAGAGAGACAGAGCATGAACGGGGGAGGGTCAGAGAGAGGGAGACACAGAATCTGAAACGGGCTCCAGGCTCTGAGCTGTCAGCACAGAGCCCGACGCGGGGCTCAAACTCACAGACCGTGAGATCGTGACCTGAGCCGAAGTCGGACGTTTAACCGACTGAGCCACCCAGGCGCCCCAACATTCTGCATTTTAATAACTACACATTTTTTTTCATGTGGATAACGACACTAACGCCATGGATACTAATGCTTAGGACAAGGTAAAAGGTTTTAACAACACACTAAGTAAATGATGGTACGGATGTTATTTAGGCATGGCAAAAGCAATAAAGATGGCCCATAAAGAAGTTTATAAAACATGGATTTAACAGGAAAAAAAAAGTAGAAGCCTGCACACAATCCCTCGCACAACAGCAAAACAGGCACCGCAGCGAGGAGCGCTGGTGGCTTTCATTTCTAGTTCTGAACCAACCTGTTGGGTTTCCCAGGGAGTCTGTAATTTCCCACTGCTTGAAAACATAACAGTCACCCCTCTTTCTCACAGGGCTATCAAGAGCTTTAGAAGTTTATCATACTCAAGGAATTTAAGATTAAAAAATCTCTAAGTGCGAAGCACTTCAATTAAATAGATTCTGCTTTGAAACAGAAAATATGCTTGATGATAACACTATTCCCACTTCTACATACAAGGTGGTCTGAAAGTGCTTACGTTGAGAACAGCATGTTTAGACATCCCTCTAGAAGACGTTTAAGCACGCCACTGGCCCAAACTTCATAGCTTCCATCAGCCTGTGAACCACGGATAAAATGCATCGTGTTGGCTGTCATACCATACCTTCATAGATGTATTATATAATGAAATAAATGAAGTAAAAAGATCCAGGTAACGAGTTGTGAAGACCAGTGCAAAGAGAAGCTGGCTTTTTCCAGAAATACCTAAAGAAACAAAAGGAGAGTATTAGCAAAGTGTCTGTGAGAGGAGCTGGCTGTTTCCTGCGGAGAACACTGCAGAAAGTGCACACATGGGGAGTGGGCGCCAGGGTCAGTGGCTCACGTCTGGGAGGACTCCGTCAGCGAGAGCTGCTGTACTTTTCCTTTCACTTAACATTCTTTTTGTTTTCTTTTCCAGTTAACATTTTTGAACACGCTCTTCCGGGGAGGTTCCAACCACTTTGCAGTCTTATCATGTCAGGTAACTACGAAAAGTGCCTTAATTATGCCAGCACCAATATACCAGGATGTGTACTGTTCAAATGAACGTTGTATTTCTCAAAGACTTTAGATAGGAATAATTTCACTAACTCCGCTGTTAGTGTTATAACTGGTCTGCTACCTGTAGCATCTTTCTTTCCACTTTAAAACAACGTATCTCATGGTGACAATCCTTCAGGGGATGGTGTTGGAATCTAACCCGATTAAGCAGATGAGGAACCCAGTTAGGTGCACTGCTTCAGGTAACAGTCTGAGCAGTAACCCCCGGGAGCAGTGGAAGGGCCTCCCAAGGTGGCTTACTTTGCGAAGGCAGCATTTCTTGGACATGTTAACATTTAAAAAAATTCCACCTCTTAGATTCGTCATACAACCATAAAAATGTTGCTGTGGATGCTGGATGCAACGACAGAAGGGTGGGAACCTGCCACTACAGCCAGTCCTCAAAAGCAGCACTTTAAAAAAATAGTTTGGGGGGCACCTGACTTTGGCTCAGGTCATGATCTCGCAGTTTGTGAATTTGAGCCCCGCATCAGGCTCTGTCCTGACAGCTCGGAGCCTGGGGCCTGGTTCAGATTCTGTGTCTCCCTCTCTCTCTCTCTGCCCCTCCCCTGCTCACATTCTGTCTCTCTCATAAATAAATAAATAAATAAATAAATAAATA